TCTCTCTGACGCACACACACACTACCTCCCTCTGTCTCTCATCTAATGCACTGCCAAGTGATGCTGCCGATGAGCTTAATGGACGTCAAAGGCTCTTACATGATGGACATCTCAACAGTGCAACCCCCCCCCCCCACTCTCTTTTCACTCCGCAGTCCACCTCTGCTAGTGGTCAATACTAATTTTATTTTCGATCTTTTTTTCTTTTTGCTATTTAAAATAGTTCACGAAAAAGCTTTACTGCAGTTGCTGAATAAAGAGCGCGCGTCCTCTGCTGTGCAGCTGCTAAAACTGAAATTCCATGCAATTATTTCCATTGATGTGCTGCGGTTTAACGTCCTACAGCGCCGTCAATGGCCAACAACACGCACTTATGAACGCATAGGCCACCACAAAATGCATGCAAACATCATGCCACTATTTGAAAACTGTAGTTAAGTATGTATGTGTGCTTATGTGTGTGTGTGTATGTGTGTGTGTGTATGTGTGTGTGTGCATCTAGTCTCTGCTTGGCGTTGCAGTGAATGTGCATTTTCTCGAATTTTTTTCCCAAAATTTTCGCATAATATGCAGTCATCGGCTTAGCAGCAGGCATGGCGTTAGTGATTACAAGCTTTGGTTTGGCATGGAATTTTTTTTTTTTTTAGAAAATCAATTTGTTAACGGAAGTGGTGAGTTGTCATGTACATACTTATGTATCCAGGAGGGGATGAGTGGCGGCAAAACATGTTGTAAATGGAATGTATTTAATGGCATTTCGAAAAAATTCATATGAATTTTTCACTTAAGTACTCACTTTAACACAGTTGCTATTGTTCATTAAACAAAAAAAATGTGAGTACCACAGTTTTAAATACCAATATCATTTAAATTTGATCGAAAAAAGAATAGCAGAAAATATTATATTTTTAGAAAGACACGAAAATTAGTTAAATTTGGTCACCAAAAAAAATCAAAAAATAAATAATCTTTTTTCACAACGATATAGAATATATAAGAAAGTGATTATTTATTATCTCCAGAGCACGGGTATTGCTTGTCGAAAACTAAAAAATAAAATAAAATACGAAATATAGTTCGGATCTAGAAAAATAAAAAAAATCCCTAGCAAAGCAAAAAACTGAAAAACGGAAACTGTTGAGAGGAATATTAAAATAACAAATATTTTCAATACACATATTATTTGTGTTTCGAAAATAAAGGCATAGCAACTAAAAAAATAAAAGTTATTCTTAATCATGAAAATAACCATAAATGAAAAATTTTCCTTTTTTAACAAAAAAACAAAAAGAAACGATTTTTAATTAATTATTTAAATAAAAAAATTATATTAACAAAGAACATTAATAAAAAAAAATTGAAATATCGTTGGGTAAAGAAACGATTAATTTATGTTAAAAAAATATTAAATTAATTTTTAAAGGAACAAGGAATTAATAAATCAGCAATAATTTTCCATAAAAATAAATAAACAAAATATTAATAACATTAAACCTTATTCAAAGTAATTAAATCAAATTTGATAAGAAAAAATATTAAATTAATGATTTTCTTCTAAATTAAATAATAAAAAATATTAAAATCAAAAATTATTTAAAATACCAAAAAAAAAAACTAAACTAAAAATTATTAAACTACTTGCGTAATAATTAGTAAAATAAAAAAATAAAAAAAATAAAAATAAAATTTAAAATAATTTCAAAATTAAAAAATAAAGTCCGTCGCAAACTAATTTAAAATTTAATATATTATTGTATTACAACTTTTTCAATTTGTTGCAGTAAACATTTTTTCAAGAAGTTATCTCAAAAAAATGATCACCAATTTAATTATCACTTTCTATTAAAGTAAACAAAAAAATTGCTAAAAAAAATTTAATCTATTTTAAAATCAGAACATTGAATTATTTATATTTTTATAGAATAAATGAAAATTATTTGATATTATCAAAATAAATTTAAATTTTTTTTAAATCAATTATCATTATAATTCCCATAATAATAAATAAGAAAATCTCCAAATTTGAAATAATATTATTAAAAGAAAAAGAAGAATATTAAATGAAGGCAAAAGAAATTCAAAAAATTATTTGATTTAACAATAACATAAGGATTAAAAAAGAATTTAAAACATTAAATAAGTTCGATAAATATACACATAACATACTTCTTCACAGATCGCAAATGAGAACCGTTGCAAATACTACATTTCATATAACAGTTATACGTAAACTTTGACTCTGAGCTCCAACTTCTTAAATAAGCAGAGACTTTAACATTTCAAATTATTTCCTAAGCAAATTTAGTGAGTAACAAAACGTTAGGCGACTAATTTTCGAATCTTTCTTCCTTTAAATCTCACGCCGAGCGCTCCCACATCATACTCTCCCATTTGCTTTCATATGATATGTACGAGTACGTGTTGAAAACAATGCAATTCCGCTACACACATGCTTCGATACTATGTTTTTAAATAAGTTTTATTTGATTGTTAACATGAGTAATGGATTTTATGCATGCCTAAGTAAGTGTTGGTGGAAAGTGGCTTAGAAAATGCCACTTGACTCAACATACTTACGAGACTTCTTACTAAACAAATATTTAATAACTGATAAATCATAAAAAAATTCCTAATAAATCGTCAGCAGAGACTTCAAACATGTGCACGTACATACTTATGTAAATATACGTATGTATTAAATATATCTCAAGTCCATACTTTAAAGTAAATAAAATTTTCCAGACATCAGAACTCGCATACCTCACATAATGTTTTCTCATAACAAAACAAACACAGAAAATTGACGTTCAAACATATTTATTTTCATAGTCAATACGTACGGAACATATGTATGTATGTATGTATATAAGACAAAAGAATCTTTAGTCTTACAAAACGTTAGTAATGGAAACCCCAGCCCATACATGCTCTCCGAAAACAAGCACATTATTAAATTTCACACTTCAACTAAAAACCTGTACCCTTCACAAATCACGTTTGACCGTTTGTCCATGGCAAAAGGACACAGCGACCGTTTTGTGAGAAAACTGCCAAGAGCCAGCGAGAATGAGTATGAAATTTTATTTGGGAAATTTTCATGCGCCGATCAGGTATATGCGCAAATAAAGCGAAAAACGAGACAACAAAACATCGAAGCGGCGCACAGTGGAGCAATTTCAATGTTACATTATGAAAAAGAAAATTTGAAACCTTTGAAACATGTTGTATTCAAGTAAATATTGGAAAAAAAAAATCAAATAAATAAGAAATAAACTAATAATAAAAGACTAAATTAAAAAGATGGGGATAAGATAAGGGATAAACAATAATTAAAAGTAAAAATGTTAGTTAGAAATAATCATAAGAAGAAAACCCTAATAATAATAATAGTAATAATAATAATAATAATAATAAATTAAACGTTAAAAAAATAAATTTAAAAATATTCTGAATGAAATAAAGATTGTTAATTAATATTTAAGGGACTGAAAAATTATAAAGGTAAAAACTTAAAACAAAATATCAAATAATATTTTATTATTTTATTTTATTAAAAGAAATACTTAATAAATTAAAAACTTTTCTTGCATGTGTGTAATGTCGAGATCTAATGGTAAATAACTGAATTTAAAAAAATGCTAAAATATCACAAAAAATAATAAATTTTAATATTTAAGAGATGGAAGTTAATTAAGATTTCTCATTTTACCAATACCCTCATCTCCTAAATTTTATTATTTATTTTATAAACTATAAATTATTAATTATTAGATATAAAAATATGATAATATGTAAAACCAAAAATAAATTTAAAAAGAAAAATTATAAAAGAGTCAAAAATATATAAATATAATATACAATATATAGTAAAACAAAAATTAATTTTGAAAAAACCATAAAATTGAAAAAATACGAACAAATAAATTAAAAAATAGTAGACGTAAAAAAATTAAAATGAAATGAAAATTAAAAAACACAAAAAAAACTTAGAAACTATAAATAAATTAGAAAATATTGAAACATTAAAATTAAAAAAAAAAACCATTAAAAAAAACCCCATAATAACGGAAATAATTTAAAAACTAATAAATAATTAATTAAAATTAAATAAAAATCTAAAAAATATACAAACCTAAGAAAATGGAAAAAACTCAAAGAAAATATATACAGAACTAAACACAAATTTAAAAAAAATTATAATTAAAAAATATAAAAAAATAAGGAGAAAATAGAAGTATAACAAAATGAGATTAAAAATAAAAATAAAATTTATAAAAACAATAAAAAAAATTAATAAAAGAAATAAAAATATAACTAAAAATAAAAACAAAAATTGGACCGATACAGAAAAAAAAATTGAAAAACAAAATAAGAAGGAAAAATATAATCATAAATAAGAAAAATTAAAACTTGAGGAAGTTAAGAACAAAACAAAAAAATTTGAAAATTGAATAATAAAATAAATAAAAAAAATTTAAATTAAAACTATAAATTAATTTAAAAAAATTAAGATAACACATAATTAAAAGAATATTTTCTGTCCTGTCTTATACATATAACCTTTACTTTTGAAAAGTACACGTACATCTTTCCCGTCTGGTCACACTGTGCGCCGGCCAGCGCTCCTTTAATGAACACATTATAAGCCACACTGCATTCTAGTTAGCAGTAAGGGCATGTGTTGCACATATTTCAAACGTACAGGTAGGTAAAAAGGTACCTGAAGGCAGCACGTGTAAACACACATACTTAGGCACATATATAAGTGTGTAGTTTTCACCGCACTAAACTAGCAAGCGAGGATTTAGTTCTGAAACTGTCTTCAATGATAACGCTTGGCTGCAGGCATAGACAGAGCCGGAAAATAATTTTTCCAAAAATTGTCGAAAAGTAAATTACACATTTTATGACGTAAATTGTATTAAAAGTATATTTATATATATATTTGTTATTAATAATATATAACTAATGCATTTTTTAAATTTTTATTTTATTTTTAGCACCAGCAAACAGAGAACTGTGTATTACATAATTAAAATATAACAATAACATCAACAGCAACAACAACAAACACCTGAAAAATGTTTCATCTTACATTGCCCGCCTCAAGCGGGTGTTTGCGCACATCACAGCAGCACTGGTGGTCGTCACAGCAAAAGCTATTACTTACGCTCACGTTTTTCCTCACCGTCAGCCAACTGCCCGCTTACGCTATCGCCGTCTTTTCACCGAAAGACTGTCGCGACTTCAATGCCGCCAATTCGTTTTGTCAGTGTTCGGCGATGCCCTCACGCTACGAAATCCAATGCCCGCCCATGGATTTCGAGCAGAAATTCCACCTACAAATCAGCGCAGGCGAACACGTGCAAATTGAATGTGGGCGCGCGGATGTGCGCGACTATCAGCTGTTGCCGAACATGACGATCGGCGATACGAAAATCGTGCAGATACGTCACTGTCCGTTGCCCGGTCACACACCCATAGCGGGTCTGTTGAGACGCCTGGGCATTACGAATGTGAATTATCTGATGTTCGAGAGTGGCGACTTGGGTGCGAACTTAACGCGGCATCATTTGAGTAATTTACAGAATTTGGCGCATCTCCGCTTCAGTTCGAATAGCCTGACACATATGCCGGGTGATTTATTCGCCGATTTACACAATTTGAATTGGTTGGACTTACGTTCGAATAATGTGAACTTGACGGAGAAACTTTTCGAGCCATTGCGCAGCTTAACGTTCCTCGAATTGGGTCATAACAACTTGAAGACACTGCCGCGCGGTATTTTTAAGAACCAGCAAAAGCTGTTGCATCTCAATTTGTGGGGCAATCAGTTGCGCAACCTCACACGTGATATATTCGAGGATGCCACCGCATTGACCGATATCGATTTGAGCGCGAATAATATTGAGACTTTTGCGCCGGACGTTTTCCAGCCGCTCACCAATCTCAGCAGCATCTACATTAACGCCAATCACTTCCGGGAGTTGCCATATGGTCTTTTTGCGAATAATAAAAATCTCACTGAATTTCGTTTAATAAATAACCGAGTCGCGCTAATTACGCTACCATCGAAACTATTTGCGAATTTACCACATTTGAAGGATGTACGGGTGACCTGTGAACTGGAGAGTGTGCCCGAAGATTTATTCGAAAACTCTAATCGTTTGGCGAATCTTACATTGAAGGAGAATATGCTGACCACCTTACCGGAGCATTTGTTTAGAGATCAATCTGAACTGTATGACCTGGATCTGACAAATAATCGGCTACAAACGCTGCCGGATGGTTTATTCCAGAACTTGAAAAAATTGGTGGAACTGAAGCTGTCACACAATCAGCTACGCGAAATCTCAAGGTATGAACAAATTGCAAAAAATATTTCACGTTTATTTTTTTTCACATATTTCATTTCGTTTCTTTATGTTTTTTGTTTTTAATATATTTTTTATTTTTTTATTTTATTTTATTTTATTTTACTTTTTAAATCTGTTGCATAAGCAAACATTTTCACAAAACAAAATCCTTTTCCTCTTATCTTCCAGCGAACTCTTCAATCCACTCATCAGTCTGGAATTACTTCATTTGGACAACAACAACATACTCAATATAAATATCCAAGCTTTCCGTGACACCGGCAGTTTGAAATTCCTCGATTTGGAAAATAATCAAATCGATCTCGCCGAAGCACATGCCGCCATACTCGAACCCAGCGCGCATTTCAGCTCCGACTTCGATGCCAATTCACCCTTCCAGTTTCTCTACAAACTGCAACGACTCAATTTGCGCAACAACTCCATCATGTATATCTTCAATGACTGGAAGACACAACTACTCGAGCTACAACAACTCGATCTCAGCTATAACAACATCACGATATTCCACGATCAAGATCTACAGTTCCTCAGCAAGCAACGCATCGAGGTGAATCTCACGCACAATCTAATACACGAAATCAATTTCAACACCATCAAAATTATGGATGTGCCTTTAGCGAACCAGAAGGTGCGCATCGATCTCAATAACAATCCGCTGCACTGCGATTGTCTCATGTTGCCCTTCCTGCAGTTCATTTCCGGCGAGTTCAAGGAAAAGTTTGCGAACAAAATTGAGCTGCTTACCGCCGAATTGAAGTGTGAGGGACCGACCGCGTTGCAAACCAAGCCTGTACAGGAATTGAGTTACATGGAGCTCGTGTGTCCGTTGGACGATAGCGCCTCGAGCGAAAGACGCTGTCCACGCGGTTGCGAATGTTGGGTGCGGCCGCATGATTTTATGCTTTTGGTCAACTGTTCGAACGGAAATATGACACGTTTGCCCGCGCTGCCACACGAGCCGCTGCTCAAGGGCATTGTTTTGTTTGTGGAAAATAATAATTTAATGAGGCTACCTCTAGGCAGCACATCCGGCTATGCAGATGTGAAGCAGTTGCATGCCGCTGGCAATCAGCTGCGGCAAATAGAGGTAAATAACCTGCCCGTAGGTTTGAAATACTTGGATGTGCGTCATAACCAGCTGCAGCGTCTAAATGAGAGTGTTTTGGAATACTTAAACAGCAGCAGTACACTCGAGGGCTTGCTGCTCTCACACAATGCATGGGCGTGCGATTGTGAGGCGAAGCCACTGCTGGAGTTTACACAAAATGCGGCGATTTTGCAAAAGCTTAGCGTGCGCGATTTCAATCAGATGCATTGTGCGACGGACCCTACGAATCCGGACGCTGCGGTGGAATGGTTCAAAGATATCTCCGTTGCCGACATTTGTCCCGCAGAAATGGGTTTGATCATAGCTTTCGGCACAACTATTGCGCTACTCGGCCTATTGGTGGGCATCGGCATGGCGCTCTTCTACAAATACAATCAAGAGATTAAGGTTTACCTTTACGCGCACAACTTGTGTCTCTGGTTTGTTACCGAAGAGGAGTTGGATAAGGACAAGAAGTACGACGCTTTCGTCTCGTACTCACACAAAGATGAGGCCTTCATAGCAGACTATCTAGTGCCCGAATTGGAACACGGCCCGATACCGTTCAAGTTATGCGTGCATGTGCGTGACTTCATAGTCGGTGGTTGTATACCCGATCAGATTATACGTTCGGTGGATGAGTCGCGACGCACGATTGTGGTGCTCTCGCAAAACTTCATCGAATCGGTGTGGGCGCGCATGGAATTCCGTGCCGCACATCAATCGGCGCTCAATGAAAAGCGTAATCGTCTGATTGTCATCATCTATAGTGATATTGAGAATATCGAGAATTTGGATAGCGAGTTACAGGCATATTTAAAGACAAACACCTATTTGAAATGGGGCGATCCATATTTCTGGGACAAATTGCGCTACGCTATGCCACATCCCAGTCGACGGCCGGCTGGTGGCTTGGAGAAGACCGCCATGAAGAGTTCGGTGGACGATAAACTGGAGCTCATCAAACCATCGCCCGTCACACCCTCACCTACAACACCACCCGCCATGGCAGCGAAGAACCCGCTCATTGCTCACCTCAACGGCGGTACACCGCAAACTGCGATCATAATACCGAATGGCAAAATGGCGAATGGCGGCACGACAATGCCCGTCAACAACTATCATCACATGAATGGCAAGACACAGAACGGACATATTAATGGCGCTTTTATTATCAACACAAATGCCAAGCAGAGTGATGTATAGAATAGGGAGAAGGCGGAAATGTTTCAGTTCGATGACGATTTGCTCTTTCGATGAAACTGAGACACGAACGCATCTTACAACCACTACTACTAAGTTAGAGCTGAAACGGCGTTAGAACGGAATGCAGGCTGATTTGTCAACGTCATGACGAGGCGTGGCTTGTGGGCGATAGAAGGTGCAAACAGCAAAGTAAAAAACACCAAAGCATGACGAGAATGATGAGAAGTCTCAAAGGGAGGAGGTACACAAATCAATCGGAAATTCCCTAACACGTTCATTATCCTATCGAAAAATCGTTTAATATTATTCTCTGCTTTTATCCGTCAGCGTAATTTGTTTTCATATGTGTATACTTCTTAAGAAGCATACTTTTAGGCATTTACTAAAGTTATGTACTTGTATAGTATAATTAAGCTGTTTTTTTTTAATGTTCAAAACCAAACTGACTTTGGTCACAAACACCAATTAAAAGAAATAAAATAATTATTAAAAAAAATAAAAATAATTTAAAAATATTGTTAAAAAACTGATGATTTGAAGAAAAATGTTTAAAGAAAATATTTTAAAAACCTTAAAAATCCATTTGAAAACAATTTAACTTAGATGCAAAACTTATTTTTGTTGGAATTTCCCTTACTTCACAAAAAATATTTTAATTTAAAATTAAAAAAAACATGCAAACATGCTCAAGTTAGAATTTTCCTATTTTTCTGAGTCTTTTTTTCTTTCTTTTTTTTTTTTTTTTGACTTGTAAAACTATTGAAAATGTCATATGCATACATACATACAAACAAACATATTTTTGTACTCTCGCTAGGCATTAAGCTTATATATATATATATATATGTACGTAACGATATTATAGCAAATAAAATAATAGCTAAGCAGTAAAATAAATCGATGTATGTGTAATAAAGCATATTTTTAAATTTAAAGAAATTCATAGGCAGAAAATATGTAATAAGCATTGTAAAAAGAAGCTCAATTCGTTAAGCTAACTAACACGGCATATTTCAAATTTCCTTCAAAACAATTTTAAAAGGGTTGGTATAAATGAATTCTGACAATCATTTCAATTTTACGTAATTATGAAAAAAAATTTAAATTTATTTTTTTTTTTAATTTTTTCACTTTGAAATATGAAAAAAGACTCGATTAAATATTCTGCTCACTTGTTAACAAATTATGTTTATTATTTTCATTTAATTAATTGTTATAAAGTTATTGATTTTATTTTGCCAAACAACAAAGAGGAATCTCATGTAGAAAAACTCACTTTTTTGCTACAAAAAAAACGGTACTCGAAAACTGTCATCATCATTGTTTTATCAAATTTTTATAATTATTTCATATCTACATTTTTTACAAATAATTTCATAATTTTTGCCCTGAAAAATTTTTCATAGACTATTTGCATTTTTATTCATTGCTTAAATGTTATACGGTTTTGCCCAAAATCATTTATCGTTGTTTGCCATTTCATGGTAGTTTTGTTAAAAAAAAACATGGTTTTTGACAAAAGTTTGAAAAAATTTCATAATAATTTTTAATTAAACGAAAAAAGTGGTCGGAAATCTCATGTTTTCATTTGACAAAACCTTTTTCGAAATTATTTCGTATTCTGTAACTAGTAACTAAAACATTTCTTTTATTAAAAATGTGTGAGATTTTTTCAAATTTTAATTTAATTAACAAGTTTACATTTTTTATGTCAAATTTCTAGATTTTTTGCTATAAAAATTTTCCTTTCAGTAAACAGATTCAAAAAAGAATTCACTTTGACCATATGTTTGTGTAAAAACGGTATATATAACTTTAAAAAAAATATAAATAAAAAATGTTTCAATTTTTACTTATCAGTTTTTTTAATTCCTCGCCTCAAGTGCATTTTTCGAATATTTTTTCTTTAAAATGCATTTTTTTTATTCAATAAACTTATACATAATATAGCTTCACTGTTGATAAACATATGTACATACACACATATGCATTTCGACATATAAATAGCTTTAAGTGGCACACACAAACACACATACATATTTACAATACATAATAACAAATACATATATACACAAATGAAGAACATTTCAACTTTCTCACAATTGCAATATTGAAAAATTCCAAAAACTAGTGTTTAGTGAAATAAAAATAAAAAAACCAAAAACAAAAGCTTAAATATATAAATAAATCATAGCGATGTATGTATGCTATCTAATAAGTAGATATAAATATAATATATATATGTACTTACACAGTAGATTTTTCAAAGTTTAAAACAAAATAAATGAGATAAAATATAAAATAAAAAGATGCGAATAAATACATTTGAAAAAAAAATGTAAAAAAAAAATTATTTTTAAAAATATAAAAAAAGAAATACTTAAAAATTTATGAAACAATATAAATAATTAAAAAGCATATATATACAAATGTATTTAGCTTTAGTAACTACATATGTATGTAAAATGAATTATATACTACATACATATATACCCAATCGAATGCCTTCTACATGAATATGAGTAATTAAAATATCTAAAAAATAAAATTTATATGCATGTATGTGTAAGCTGATAAGTGTGCATATGGCCGTTTATAAAATATAAGTAAAATAGGAGCAAAATTAAAACTAAAGTAGAAATAAATATAAAATAGAAGTAAAGAAAACATAAAAAAGGAAATAAAAAATAAAGGAAATGTAAAAATGAAATTAAAATAAAAGCAGATATATAAAATAAAAACAAATTTAATGAATATAATATATATAATATATATAAATATAATCAAAAATTAAAATGAAAATAAAAATAAAAAACAGAGTAAAAAAATAAAACTAAAGCCTTTAATAAAAATAAAAATAAAAATAAAAATAAAAATAAAAAGAAAAATAAAAATAAAAATAAAATAAAAAAATAATGTAAAAATAAAACCACAAACCAAAGTAAAAATTTAAATAAAAGTAACATTAAACAAACATAAAAACTAAATAAAAATAAAATTAAAAATAAGAGTAAAACATAAATGAAAATTAAAACTCAAAATAACACCTAAAATTAAAATTAAAATTAAAAGAATAAGTAAGAAAATATATTTAATAAAAAAAAAATTTTAACAAAAAATTTTCAATTAAATAAGCAAATAAAAATGAAAAAGATAAGAATAAAAAATAAGAATAAAAGTATAAATAAAATTAAAAATAAATAAAAACCAGACATAACGGTATAAATAAATATAAAAAAATAAACTAAACACAAAGACAAAATGAAAATAAATTTAAAAATAAAAACTGAAGAAAAAATATAAGTTAAAAATATAAAAAAAAATGAAATTAAACAAATATAAAAGCTTAATAAAAATAAAATTAAAAATAAGAGAAACCCCAAAATGAAAATTAGAAACAAAACTTAAAATGAAAGTAAAGTTAAAAGAAAAATTAAAAATGATAGTAATAGTAAAAACAAATATCAAACCTTAACAAAAAAAGTCTTAACTAAATAAGAAAACAAAATTAAAAAAAAGATAAGAATAAAAAAATAAGAAAAAAGTGTAAATAAAATTAAAAATAAATGAAAGAAAACAGAAATAGAGATAAAAATAAAAATAAAAGTACATATAAAAATAAAATTAAAAATTCAAATAAATAAAAAATAAGAATAAATATATATAAATATAAAATACAAGTTAAACTAAATACAAAAACAAAATGATAGTAAAAGTGATGGTAAAAATAAAAATAAAAATAAAAATAAAAATAAAAATAAAAATAAAAATAAAAATAAAAATAAAAATAAAAATAAAAATATAAACAAAAAATAATAACAAGAAATAAAAGTAATAAATGTAACAATAAACATAAAAATAAAAATAGAGTAAAGTGTATAAATAAGCGAATATTTGCTCATAAATAAACAACAAAAATCACAGAAAGAAAATACAATTTAATTTATGATAAACATAAATATTTTCAAATGCAAACAATAATGATTTAACTTATTTACTCAACCAAAAAAATAATGAACCTACTTGTATACACATTTCTTGGTGGGAGAAAAAACTAGGAAAACAAAAACAACAAAAACCACCACATTTAATTTAAACTCGAAAGCGAAAAGACTTCTTTGATTTTTGCAAACAAAGTTCTCAACAACATACAAACATATGTCCGTACATACTCGTATATAGAATTGTATATATACAATACGTATACGTAGAAAGCACTTATATATGAATTCATGCTAACAATATTTACATACACACATATAAATATATATATATATATACGAAACAGTCTACCATGTGCGTAAAATGTCATGTCTGTCGCTCGTACATACATATGTATGTACCTATGTGTATCTTTGTATGGATTATAATTGAAATTTCTATAAGAAATCAGAAATATATATGTACATATATCATAAACACGGCGAACACACACACACACATACACACTCAGACACCAGAATTTATATGTATGTAACGTAAGTAGCGTAAGTAAGTATTTCACATATACTCATATACATAAATACATACAAACAAAGGCACTCGAAATGCAGATTGATATATTTGGGAATAAAAATTTATGATAAAATACAAATTATACTAGATTTACATAAGTATGTATTTATGTATACATATTTAGGTATGAATTTAATGCGTATAAAGTAAATTTAAAAATAAATAATAAATACATATTTTAAAAGAAAAAAATCTGAAAGCTTTTATAAATTTTAATTGCTAACTAGAATTTAGTGGACAAGTTGTGTACACGTAAGTAAGGCAAATAAATAAAATTCTTAGGAATGGAAAAATTACCAAGAACATAATTCATAATGCTACAATTTCAGCAGCATATGTTTGCAAAATAGAAAAACGACGAACCGAATACTGTATCAAGTCCATTTTAAATAATTCTACTATTTCAAAAAGCGCCCATGGGAAAAATATATACGGACCAAATCATTAGCTAAAGCAAGAAAAAACACTCGATTTTCATTGCATACTTTTGGGGCTACCTTGACTGAATTTTAATCTCAATTATGTGCACAAGTGTCAAAAGTTAACAACATCCAAGGATTTCATTTTGAAAAATATTGTTCTGAGCTGCCATCAAAAACTTTCAAAACCAGAGTTTTGGATTCCTTTCGCATAACGTCACCCACAGGCTTGATTTGAAAAAACTAGGAACAACATTAATGTTATCAATAGGTCTAGTAAAAGTATAGTAACTTGAAGACATTATTGTCCATAGTTAGAATTGTCCGATTTGTGCCAAATATGGTACCGTTTCACCAGAAAACTTTTTGTCATTTTAAGGGTAAAAATCTTATGCCTCTCTCATTTTAAAGGTAAAACTCTTATGCCTCTCTCAAAGAAACCCTCGCCCCTCTCGCTGTTTATGGCGAGTCACTATCTTCGCGAAACACAATTAATTCCTGTTGACCAAACCTGAGCACTTCTGGGCTTCCTGGTCGTCAATCATGACTTGGAGACCGTTCGAGCGGG